TACCAGAGGAAAGATGAAGGTAGTAGGAGACATGGAGGAATACAAGAGTTAAAAATAAATAGAGGTAAATAAATACTGTTAACTGGTGGTGGTACATGGAAAGGCTTGCAATCACTGAAATGAAAAAAAGTATATGACTTGTTGAATGTAAAACTTACAATCTGCTCTGTAAACCTTCACTCAATTCACAATAAAAAGTTTGAGTAATCATTTAAAAATTAAAATAAAATTAGCCTTTACTGTTAAATTTCAGATTCTTATTTTACTTCTAAATTCTTAAAAAACAGCAACTAAGAAAATACTTCTAAAATAGTCTTACCATTTGTTTTTAATGTACATAATATCAAAATTTAAAAATGTATATATAAATAGTACCTGAAACTGAACTCTTGGACACTGAATCAGAGATAAATTGGTACCAATTTTCCTTACAATACTTCGCGATGAACCGTAAGGCTTTCCAGACCAAAGTACCTGAGGGAAAAAAAAACAACAAGCATTTAATTAAAAGACTTTTAGAAATACTGGAGTCCTGATGTGGCATTGTGGGTTAATGTACTGGACTGCAAAGTCAGTTTGAACCACAAGGTCAGCGGTTCAAGCTCACCAGCTGCTCCTCGGAAACCCAATACAGGGTGTCGTTGGATTGGAACCAACTCAAAGGCACTTAACAACAACATAGAAATATTAATGCAAAGCAATGTATAACTAATTGCATGACAAGCTAATATATTAATTACAGGATCTGAAATATTAATATATGGTGGAGTCCTGGAATGGAGCTGTGGGTTAAAGGGCTGGACTGCAAAGTCAATTTGAACTGCAAGGTCAGTTGCTCAAGCTTACCAGCTGTTCCTCGGAAACCCTATATAGGGTTGCTATGGGTCAGAACAGACTTGATGGCACATTAACAACAACAACAGCAACATATATATTTGGTGGTGCTTACGTGTGAACTAATCGGCTCTAATTCTAGCGACCCTTTATGGGTTTTCCGAAGCTGTAAATCTTTACAGGAGCAGAAAGCTTCACCTTTCTCCTGCAAAGCTTCTGCTAGATTTGAACAGCTAACCCTGTGATTAGGAGGCCAACGCATAACCCGCTACAC